ATGTCAGTGAGCCCTAATGCTCTGTAGTTGGGGGCACTGTCACTTTGCAGTAGACCAGGATAGGAACATTTCAAAGGATACAGGTGATCACTTGGAACTCGTCCCTTTAAGGGACAAGTAGAGGTAAATCATGCCAGTGAAATGCCCCTCACGTTATAATAGAAAGACCAGGTTTTTCCTTTAATTTGTCAAATTTTGTGTGCATATACATTTTTCCCTTTTCTCCGACACGGCTACTCTTACAGAGATATGGCCGTCTCACAGTCAAACAGCCCACACTGGTCCACAGCCATGCCTTGCTACCACACCGTGCCAGGATCAGCGTAACCAGTTTATCACTACCAAAATGTAAAGAAGTGAAAAACATAAGTTAACATTACACTACCCAAAATAATACAGTTCCCACTCTCCCAGTTGGTTAAGTTCAGTTGACATCTCCAAACTGCCCTGAGGTCATCAGGGCTACGACAGCTTTGATACTCAAAAGACGAAGCCTGTGGTTTAAACTGAAGTTTGAAAGACAGCAGACTTATAGCAGCCTTTGATAATAATACATTTTAAAATTCTGTCACTTTTGGATCCTAAATCACTAGAATTTAGGAGAGCATTTGCCTTTAAACAAATATTTTAGTTTAGAAGTTGACCATTTTCTTCATGCACTCTAGTCAGCTAGGATCTGAGAGCGTTCCAGCTTCAGTGTTGTCTGTTGATGTTGGGATGTACAAAGACGTGGCCAAGGTTTCGATCAGCAGCTACTGCAGAGAGCTATCCCTGACTACAGACTAAATGACAGAACATAACACTGGCAGATATCCCCAAATATCCTTTTACAGCACATCAAATAGCTGAAAATTGAGTTCCAACGAAAAAATCTGTACTCATCAGTGTTTAGTGTTTCTTTACTTGCATAACATGGAGGGTATATTTTCAAAAACTTATCTGCAGAGTTGGAAAACAGCTGAAAGTTGGAAAACTGCCATCCTTCAAAAATCAGCTTTCCCTTGGCCTAAATAAATCAAGTGGAATAAAACTGCTCACTGTCAGGATGCTGGTGGCAGGCACAGCATGGACCATAACTCTAAAAACATATTTACACTGATCTGTCATCAACTCAGTTCCATTTCTGTCTGTGACTCTTGTTCACTGACTGGAGAGCTGAGGATAAACTGCTTCTGCCCCCAAACGTAACATATACAAGCCTTTTTAAAAAATAGACTGCTTTAAAATCATCTTTGTGTGGGGTGTGTGTGTGTGGTTGTGCGTGTTAGTCCCGTTTCCAGTCGCAGACTTCACATGTGCACACACTGAACTTCTCTCCTCATTAATGCCGTCTACCTGTTCTTTATGCTATGGACCTGATGCCCACCCACTTCTCTGGATCCACAGCCAGCGGGTACAGCATGAACCTCATTTGCAACACGGAGGCTAAAAGCTGTCTGGGAGGTTGGTGAAAGGTCAAGAGGAGGCGGTCTGCTGGAATCGTCTCAAGCAGTGACCAAAACATTAAGATCAGATTGTACGGTCTTTTTTCACGGAGCACAGGCACTCTTAACATCTGCTCAAGCATTGTAACTTTGATAGTGTGTGTTGCTGCCGATTCCAGATCAGGTAGTCCAGTCTCGTCCGGAGCCAAATGTTGACTCGACCACAGACTCTAGTCCAAGCTTTTCTGCAGTGTGTCTGAGCCTCAGCTCCAGCTGGTGCTCTGGAGTTCTTGGCGGAGCCAGGATGGCAACGGCTGACCCAACCGGCTCAACAAACGCAGGAGATCCATGTTGTGCTCATGGTAATACTCTGCTAGAAAGGCACGCGACTGCAAGAAAATGCACACAGGCACGCACACAGGCACGCACGCACGCACGCACGCACGCACGCGCACACACACACACACACACACACAGGGGTGAGATTCACAGCAAGTTTTCTCAAGTGTTGTTGTTGCAAGCATGAAACAGACATGGTGGACTGGCGTGCCAATATTACACACTTTGTTGTGATGTCAGGTTGGTGTTCAACAATAGAGGAACTTCTTTTTAATTCATTTCTGTGGCTGTGTCATTTCCTAAAGTAGTGTTTATGTTACTCTAAAAGGAGTGTGTAGATTTCATGTATGTCGATACCTATTTACACTCTGTTGTGCTGGAGACCTGAAATAGGTTTATTGACAGGTTTGAAGTTGTTCACACAGATAGCAGACTACTGATGTCAGTGGAGAATTGTCAGACTGCTTTCAGCTGTGACTCAAATAACCAATCGCTATAACCAAAACATGCTGAAGAGCATCTCTGAACACATGAGAGAAAAGACCGTAACAGGTGCCGTCACAGACACATGGGTTTGTAAGCAACAAGAAAAAAGCAAGATTGGAGGCTAATGGTTTTGCTCAGTTCGGTTTTTGCTCTTCCAAAGGTCAGCTTTTAACGGATTGCTTTTGCTACTTACACAGCTTAAAGCCTAAAATTTAAAAAGAGGTTATGGTACGCAAGATTCATCCCCCCCAAAGAGCTTGTGCTCATCAGAAAACGAGTAGGTGAAGCAATCACAGCGCACGCGTACCTCAGAACTCAACTCCGGGTACTTCCTGCCTTTACTCTTTCCCAGACATTTGGCTCGACCGCCCTCCACTCGCTGACACCAGAAACCTTTGCTGTCATCATACCTGCAAAGACAACGCATGTTTTTTGACGCCACAGCAAACACACCCCACATAGGCTATACATTTTTACATGCTTCTGTGTAAGGCAAGTCAGAAAAGAAAGTGACTTTTATACATGTGTAGGAGTGTTACGAACATTAAAGCCTGGGTGTAGTTGAAGATGGGGGTGACACCAAGGAATCTCTGTATTCCCTCCATCACCAGTACTGGGTTGGACCGCAGCAGCGCCCCATCAACAATGTGTAGCTAATTATAGAGAAAGAGTGTCAGCAACGCCTGAGAGAACTACAACCATCTTCCAATGTATTCGCAGCAGCCACTGAATGCGCATGTTAGCAGCTGCAGTGTGTGTTACCTGGCTGGCTTGGTAATGTTGCAGCCAGCGGTCCAGGTGGATAGCATATGCCCCAGGATTAAGGCAGTGTCTCTGAAGGGCCAGCAGATCCCTGGGGGCTGAGGCGCCCGCTGTAACTACTTCATGGAAAGTGTGGTTAAGGGCTACAGGGTCCTGATGAGCCCTCTGGTGCTGTAGTTAACGAAACACACACAAACACTAAAGAGGGTTTGAAATGCTATAAAAACGCCTTTGCAGCCTCACTGTGAGCATTCTCACCTGGTACCAGGAGTAGGCTCTGTCAGCCGGGTTAATGAGCACTGCCAGGATCTTGGCCCTGGGGAGCAGGGCCGCAGCTCTTTTAGGGGCTACTTCTGTGTCAAAGTAGTTGGCACTCTTTTCAAACATGAAGTCTGTGCTGACATTGGAAGGGAATGGGAAGAAGTCCATGTACCTGAGGAGGACACACACGCACACCATTACACAACTGTACTGAGGTGAAATGTGTTTTTTTTTTAAAGAAATATTTTTAAACTGAGCAGCTTTTACAGTTGTGTGTTGCTTCTTAATATAAAAGTGTCCAATTTATAAGACAACACAACGTCTGTGTGGAATCGGTTTTCCTGCTCTCGTTTGCCGTTTTAGCTGTTTGGTGGTTGTTGAAATAGTTTTGTCTTTAACCCGAGATTCTGGCGTTTCTGGCTAAATACATTTATATTTAAAAATCGATTTGAATCGGTAAACCGATTATTGAAACCAACTCCTAGTGTGTGGGGCTGTACCCTGTAGGTTTATATTGTTAGACAGTAACATTACTTATTAAGAAAAGTGTTCTGTGTAATGTGTGTAGTAATTACTTTGAGTAACGACGCAACAATGATCGCAACAAAGAGTGGAAATAGCTCCAACATGAGCAAACATTTGACCACTCAGCATGTAATTAATTTGCATGAATGCAATGTCTTGGACATGCTGCTTAGAGACGGTGCTGACTCAAAGCAATTCCCATCACTAGTGTCATTCTGAATTTGATGGCAACAACGTGTCTTCAGCAGCTGGACAGTGTATCAACGCCTCTTCTTTTAACTTTTGTGACTGAAGGAGAGCAGTTACTGGGCTTTAGAGAGAGGAATGTTGTTGTGTTCTTTTGGTTTAATCTGGCTCCAAATGTTTTTCTTAAATGTAAGCAGCTGTCTCAGTCATCCTCTTCCTCCAGCTCTGAACTAAGCTGGGTTGCTCTCGCCCAGTGTTCTGTACTGTGATTTATTAACCATCTAAATACACAAAGGACTTTGCAAATGACTCTTCTGAGTTATTGGCTGAAATCATGCCTAAATATAATAAAGCTCTAATGATTAGAGATTTTAATGTACATGTGCGCTGGCTTGACAGCATTAACTGACTCGCTAACTTCACGCAGTGGTTGTCCGGACCCACAGAAGAACATGAACACAGACATCTCACGATGTGTCTGTTTCAAACAGTGTTTTCAGATCACACGCCTGTTTTTTGCATTCACTGCTGCGCTTTTCTCTGCTTACTTTGATCAGAACTTTGGGGCTCAGCTTCTAGTTTTATTCCACCTGCCAAACGATATCAGAGTCAGTGTCTCCATTCAAAACCAGACAGTCTAAAACGAATCCCACCTGGATTCTTTAATTCTTTCTGTTTTAGGCATATTTGTTCTTGTTGTTTTTAACACTAGCCTTTTCCTCAAGGGTGGTTCCTAAAAGCTTTAAAACAACCACAGATGGAAAAAACCTGGCCTGGATCCCAGTGTGTTACCCAACTTCGGGTCCATTTCCAATCTTTCTTTTCTTTTAAAAATTCTCTAGATAAATGTTTATAGCAAATTGAAGGCCCTTTAAATAAAAAATAAAATAAAATAAATTTAATTAAATTAAAAAAAAACCAAACATCCTTGGGTTGTTTTAGTCTGGTTTGAAGTCTCTTCATGGAGCAGAATCAGTACTGCTGACGGGCCACTGCTCACTGTTGGTCCACAACAGTGATGGCTAAGACGGGTCTCTTACCGGGACCATGTCACCTATGAAGAAGACCACTGCCAGACCGCCACATGTCCCCTCCATGACATTCTACCCCAACTCCCGTGCCGACTGCACAAGATCACCACCACATGGAACCCACCCCACAGAAGACGCAAACCAGGCTGCCCCCGTACAACATGGCGGAGGACTTTCATTGATGATTTACGCGCCTGGGATGAGGCCGAAGCAACCGCAGCTGATCGAGTACGCTGGCAGAGATCTGCCACCCAATGCGCTGAACGGTGCAGGAGGACCGAACTCTAAGTATTGTGTTTGGTCCTGGTGGGCACAGTATCTAAGGCCTCCAGTCACAAACCTGGGTTTTATGATGGACAGTTAGATTGGACAGTCAAATAACTGCAGTGGTGAAATCCAGCTTCTTTCAGCTGAAACAAGTGGCAAAAATAGAAAAACTGTTGAAAGATCACTTTGAAACAGTAATCCATGCCTTTATCACAACTCTGGATTGGATTACTGCAACTTATGTAGGTGTTAGCCAGTCCTTCCTGCCTCGTCTTCAGCTGGTGCAAAAGTATGACTTAACTGGAAAACAGCAAATTACTTCTGTTTTATACTCACTCCACTGGCTGCCCGCCCATTTTAGGGTTCATTTTTAAATTCTTTTATTTCTTTCCTCTGAGATGTGCCTTGCCCATCTCAGAACTGTTGCACTTGCACTGTCCTTCCCGATTGCTCTTGGATGTGCCGAGGGCACAAGGCTTTTGCCGTAGCAGCTCCCAAATTGGCATTAGACAGGCCTCTGCACTGTCCAATTTTAAGATCCACCGCTTCTGTTTGTTGTTCGATCTAGTTTGCACATCATCAGGATGGGAGCGAATGTTCCCCCAATAATAAACCAAAGGGTCCCTCTCCTCATAAGTCTGGGGAATATATCCAGGTTTTCCAAAAAGACTTTCAATTTTGGATTGATCTGACTTCAGAACGGTTTTCCATTTTGCTTCAGTCCATTTCCCCATCCATCCATCTTCTGCTTATGTGGGGCAACAAACTAACAAAGCTGCTGTCTGTTAAAGACCAAACAGGGAATGTCATACTAAAATGAAAATGGACAGCAGATTATTTCAAAAAAAGTAATGTGTGCCGGGTGGCGGCCAGGAGCGGAGGCCCTGGCGGACTGACCCCCGGCTGCCAAGACTGGCAATAGGGACATGGAATGTCACCTCTCTGGTGGGGAAGGAGCCTGAGTTAGTGCGTGAGGTTGAGAGGTACCGGCTAGATATAGTCGGGCTCACCTCTACACATGGCTTGGGCTCTGGAACCAGTCTCCTGGAGAGGGGCTGGACTCTGTCTCAGTCTGGAGTTGCCCCTGGTGAGAGGCGACGGGCTGGGGTGGGTATCCTAATATCCCCTCGGCTTGCTGCCGGTACGTTGGGGTTTTTCCCGGTGGACGAGAGGGTTTGTTCCCTGCGCCTTAGGGTCGGGGAACGGGTCCTGACTGTCATCTGCGCTTATGCGCCGAGTGGCAGTTCAGAGTACCCAGCCTTCTTAGAGTCCCTGGGGGGGGTGCTGGAGGGTGCTCCACCTGGAGACTCTGTTGTCCTGCTGGGAGACTTCAATGCTCACGTGGGTAACGACAGCGAGACCTGGAGGGGCGTGATTGGGAGGAACGGCCTCCCTGATCTGAACCCGAGCGGTGCTCTGTTATTGGACTTCTGTGCTAATCACAGTTTGGCCATAACGAACACCCTGTTCGAACATAAGAGTGTCCATAAGTGCACGTGGCACCAGGATGCTCTAGGCCGTAGGTCGATGATTGATTTTGTAATCATATCAGCAGACCTGCGACCATATGTTCTGGACACTCGGGTAAAGAGAGGGGCTGAGCTGTCAACTGATCACCACCTGGTGGTGAGTTGGATCAGGTGGCGGGGGAAGACGCTGGACAGACCTGGTGCACCTAAACGCGTAGTGAGGGTGTGCTGGGAACGTCTAGCAGAGGCCCCAGTCCGCGAGATCTTCAACACACACCTCCGGCAGAGCTTCAACAGCATTCCGAGGGAGACTGGGGACATTGAGTCCGAATGGACCATGTTCAGCGTCTCCATTGCCGAAGCTGCTGCATTGAGCTGCGGCCGCAAGGTGGTTGGTGCCTGCCGTGGTGGTAATCCCCGAACCAAATGGTGGACACCAGAGGTGAAGGGAGCCACCAGGCTGAAGAAGGAGTCCTATCGGGCTTGGTTAGCCTGTGGGACTCCGGAGGCAGCCGACAGGTATCGACAGGCCAAGCGGAATGCGGCTCGGGCAGTGGCTGAAGCAAAAACTCAGGTGTGGGAGGAGTTCGGAGAGGCCATGGAAAAAGACTTTCGGGCTGCCTCGAAGAGATTCTGGCAAACCGTCAGACGTCTCAGGAGGGGAAAGCGGTGCTCTACCTGCACTGTGTATAGTGCTGGCGGAGCGCTGCTGACGTCGACTGAGAAAATTGTCGGGCGGTGGAAGGAATACTTCGAGGACCTCCTTAATCCCACTGACACGTCTTCCGAGGAGGAAGCAGAGTCTGGGGATGAGGGGAATGACCCGCCAATTTCCGGGGGCGAGGTCACTGAGGCAGTTAAACAACTCCTTGGTGGCAGAGCCCCTGGTGTTGATGAGGTCCGCCCCGAGTTCCTGAAGGCTCTGGACGTTGTAGGGCTGTCCTGGTTGACACGCCTCTGCAATGTTGCGTGGAGATCAGGGGCAGTACCTGTGGACTGGCAGACCGGGGTGGTGGTCCCCATCTTCAAGAAAGGGGACCGGAGGGTGTGTTCCAACTACAGGGGGATCACACTCCTCAGCCTCCCTGGGAAAGTCTATGCCAGGGTGCTGGAAAGGAGAGTTCGTCCGTTAGTCGAACCTCGGATACAGGAGGAACAATGCGGTTTTCGTCCTGGTCGCGGAACACTGGACCAGCTCTTTATCCTCTCCAGGATACTTGAGGGTGCATGGGAGTTTGCCTAACCAGTCTACATGTGTTTTGTGGACTTGGAGAAGGCATTCGACCGTGTCCCTCGGGGTGTCCTGTGGGAGGTGTTGCGGGAATATGGGGTGTCTGGCCCATTGCTACGGGCCATTCGATCCCTATACAACCGTTGCAAGAGCTTGGTTCGCATTGCCGGCAATAAGTCGGACTCGTTCCCGGTGGGTGATGGGCTCCGCCAGGGCTGCCCTTTGTCTCCGGTTCTGTTCATAATTTTTATGGACAGGATTTCTAGGCGCAGCCAAGTGGCGGAGGGCTTTCGCTTTGGTGGCCTCAGAATCTCATCTCTGATTTTTGCAGATGATGTGGTTCTGTTGGCTTCATCGGGTGAGGGCCTCCAGCTCGCACTGGAGCGGTTCGCAGCCGAGTGTGAAGCAGCGGGAATGAGGATCAGCACCTCCAAATCTGAGGCCATGGTTCTCAGCCGGAAAAGGGTGGAGTGCCCACTCCGGGTCGGGGATGAGTTCCTGCCCCAAGTGGAGGAGTTCAAGTATCTCGGGGTCTTGTTCGCGAGTGATGGGAGAAGGGAGCCGGAGATCGACAGACGGATTGGGGCTGCAGCTGCAGTAATGCGGACGCTGCACTGGTCCGTCGTGGTGAAGAGGGAGCTGAGTGTAAAAGCGAAGCTCTCAATTTACCGGTCGATCTACGTCCCTACCCTCACCTATGGCCACGAGCTGTGGGTAGTGACCGAAAGAACGAGATCGCGGATACAAGCGGCAGAAATGAGCTTCCTCCGAAGGGTGGCTGGCCTCTCCCTTAGAGATAGGGTGAGAAGTTCGGCCATCCGGGAGGGGCTCAGAGTAGAGCAGCTGCTGCTCCACATCGAAAGGAGCCAGCTGAGATGGTTCGGGCATCTGACAAGGATGCCCCCTGGGCGCCTCCTGGGTGAGGTGTTCCAGGCATGTCCCACCGGGAGGAGGCCCCGGGGCAGACCCAGGACACGCTGGAGAGATTATATCTCTCGGCTGGCCTGGGAACGCCTTGGTATTCCCCCGGATAAGCTGGAGGAGGTGGCTGGGGAGAGGGAGGTCTGGGCCTCTTTGCTTAGGCTGCTGCCCCCGCGACCTGGCCCCGGACAAAGCGGATGAAAATGGATGGATGGATGGATGGATGGTAATGTGGGACATTTACGCATTTACATTTATGCACACAAGTCATGGCAGCGCTGCACAGATCCAGACTTTCCTTTAAGGCTCTGTACACAGTGAACAGGGTGTGTATGTGTTTTTACCAGTCAATCCCATTGTGATAGTTTGCGCCACTGAAGAACTGGATCTCCTCAAAGGTGGTAGGGCTGGGGAAGGAGCTGGTGATTGCTGGGTGGATGCTCAGGAATGAATGAAGTGCTGTAGTACCTTTGAGCAAACAAGACAATTAAAATAATCAAAACAGAGAATTAAATAAGACAGATGAGAGGAATCTATACCTGTTTTTTGTGGTCCAATGATGAGAAACTTTGGCAATCTGTCACAGGTCTTCTCTTTAGACCAGATATCTTTGTGTCTCTTATCATGGCAAGGGTTCTGAAAAAAGAAAAAATCCACACAGTGTGTCATCTTCCATGACGGGTGAAAGTTACATTTACATTTTACATTACAGATATTATACACGTTACATTTTAAAATAAATAAAAGGGACATCAATGGTTTTGTTTATCATTTCGTCACATACTCCCACATCACCCAAATCTTGAAGTAGGCATTTCAATTTCCAAATTGTACAAAAGATGGGGGAAAAGGGTAGGTAAGGTAGATTTTAGATGTAATACTTAAACTTTTAAGATTAGAAATCATGAATGAATTAAAATTTTACATATTACACACCGTAGTCAGGGAAAAAAAATCCACTGATCAGGTTATTAGCAAAGGTGCAATTAATGTGTATTTACAAAAAACCCACAAACCCCTAAACTAGATGCTTTAACAATAATTATACATTCACTGTTTTTCCTTACATCAAACTCCTTGTGCATAGAATTACTGCACTTATCATGAATCTGGCACTTATGCCTTTTTTACCTATTAACTTAAAAGAAAATGCATGAAGACTTTTTCATTTCTAAAATAAAACAATACAATAAAATGTATGTAAAACAATAAAATAATATAATAACAATAAAAAAAACACTCTTTGTTGTGAAGCTGTCTTTTAACTGTTGCTTTATTTAATGATTTATAGTGATTAGGTGACTGTGTATACAGTGAAGTGAAAACAGAAACTGGATTTCTCAAGTTTTAAAAATAACCACATGAATCAACCCACCTGCCAGAGCGGGTCTCTCTCATCAGGAAAGATTTGGAAATACCTCTCGGCAAGCTGGACTGGTGGTAACGTTTGCAGCCTGAGGTTGGTCCAGCACTGGACAAACTTCACCAAAGACTCAAATGTATACAGACCCAGACGATCATTGCCATAGTTAGACAGATGGGTCATGAAGATACTGATCTGGATTGAGAAAGTTAAAAATATGTTATAACACTGCCATCCTAAGGTTTTATTTTAATTTCATTTTTAATTGTGTGTGTGTGTGTGTTCACTTTTTATTACATGTTAGCATTTTATGTTACTTAAATTCTTTTTACACCATGTGAGAAAGTATTCAATAATTTCATTATATTTGAATAATGACAATAAAGAAAGAAAGCTGACAAACTTTGCCAACTTAAAATTTTACTTTTTCCCTCGAATTTCAAATTTTGATTAAAATGTTTGACATTGGGAATTTACTATCACACACTGCATGTTATATCCACAAAATTTCTCCATTATCCCCTTATTCTCGTGTCTTAAACATCTTGTTTATTTTGTTAATATCATTAATCTTTCTCATCCTATTTTGTCTTAGTAGAATTGAAGAAAAAACCTTAAGTAAATGATAAGCAATGGTTAAGTCTGCAACTTCTTAGTTAGAAGAGCTTGGTGCTTGGTTTTTGGGAGCCATTTTTGTTGGGGGGGGGTCCACTGCCAAGAACCTTACACATCTACTCAATCTTCTTTTTCCTGTTCTGGACTAACACGCATCTGTTGTTTAATTGTTTGTTCTATCATTTAAGGTGAGTGTGCACAATGTCTGTGCTCTAGGAATCAGATTAGTCAGCATTTAAACTTTCTAAGCTGGAATGTTAAAGGTTTAAATCATCCAGTCAAGACAGCGAAAGCTTTCTTCCATGTTATTAAGCACCATAACAGTGATGTGGCTTTCCTGCAGGAGACCCACATCAGGGGGTTTTACAATGCCGTCTCTTTCCACGGTGGAGGGGCCAGTGCTTTTCCAGGTTAAAGGACAAGTGATTTCTATACTGATCAGCCAGAGCATTCCCTTTGAGGCAGTCCAATGTTGTAGCAGACAAACAATAAACATTAAATCTGCTTTCAGGGTATAAACTGAACCTCAATAAAAGTAAGCTTTTCCTCTTAAGTAGTAAAGCAAGTTTGTTAGACTTCACTAACTTGCCCTTAAGGGTTAAAAAAAAACAAAACAAAACAAAAAAAACCCTTAAAAAACAACAACAAACAAACACACACAGGCACCAAAAAACAAACAAACAAGAATTTGATTACACTGCTAAACCAATTGAAGCTGTCCTTCACCCACTGGACACCATTTTCTAAGGACGTTATTAAAAATGACTATTTTACCCCAATTTTTTAATTTATTTATTTATTTTTATACCTCTTCCAGGCTCTACCCATTTTTATTTCTAAGATTTTTTTTTTCAATGTGTTGCATTCTGTTTTGTCACCTCACACATGGGAAGGTAAACACCCAAGACCAATCTTCAAAAGCCTGAAACTGAAGGGGGGGCTTCAACACTTCAACAATTTTTGTTTTTATTATTGGGCCGCTAACATAAGCTGTCTGGTGTTTTTGTACTTGTACCTCACTCAGAGTGGCTATTCTGACTGGGTGACTATGGAACTACACAGCAACAACAGTACATCTTTTCTGGCTGTACTTGGTTCTCCACTTTCAACTCTGTGGTGAAACACTCATTGGAAATATGGGGCAAGTTTAGGAAATACTTTAACCTCGACCTTTAAGTTGAGCTCACTGAGACGCAAACTCGTCCGAGATCTTTAGCATATGCACTTACGGTATCAATTTGAACCTGCTACATCACCTTGGTCTTTAGTTATTGCAATGACAAGAGTTTCAGAAAACTTGACCTCTGATCTTCACCTTGAGGTCAAGGTCACTAAGAGGGGGTGGAAGTGACACCCACTCTTAGTGGGCGGGGTAGAAAGAGTGGGGTAAAAATGACAACACTTTTAATTTTACAGGGTGAGTCCATCTGAAATCAACCAAGCCTTTTGCGTGTCCAAGTTGCATAAAATCTAGATGGTAGAAAATGTGAACATTTACAATGATTGCTGTCAAAAACATTTTCATGTTAAAAAACAGACCATTTTTCAAAAAATATACATCTTGAAAACTATTTGAAAAATGAATCTGAAATTTCACAGCACTCATTATAGATGTCCAAACTTTGGACTCTAAAATTTGTATGCAAATTGGAGGTCGAGCAGGACATTTTCTAAAACTTGACTGAAGATGGAATGACCTTTGTGTAAAGCCAGGCCAAATCTTCAGACACTCAAGTCTCATGTAAAGTTGACACGTGTGAAACATGAGTGCTAGACAGTCTCAAGCCAACAGCTGTAGTGTGCATGGAGGTTTTCTTACAGGGTTTAGGAGGACGGTGAGGAAGAGCTCTCCCCCTCTGATGCTCTTGTCCAGCTCTTTTGAACCTCCTGGGTATTCATTATAGAAGATTGTATGGGTGAATAGACCACAAGTTTGTCTGGGCAATACCTGAAATGAACAAATAGGGCATTAAATATTGGGGATATATACATAATTTCCTTAGGGATTAATAAAGTATTCTGATTGGTCAATCATCTAGGTAAGGAAACCCCAAAAAGTTGATTCTGTTCCTCCGTGTTCTCAGCATCATGTGTTTTTAGTGGGAAACTTTTTCACTTATCCAAGTGTAGCCACAGCTGCTCCTTTCACATAAATGGCCAACTGCAAGCAATGGAGGTCATTTATAAGAGATGTCTCCACCCTCAATAACAGGACCAACCTCAACACTGACCAAGTATGTCTTGCTCTTGTAATTTTATCTTATCTATATTTCAAATATAGGAGTTAGAGCAGGGAGATATGGCCAAAAATATTTATCACGATATATATTTGAAAATTTGCGATAACGATATAACTGACGATATAATTGATGCGAGACAAAATACAACTCCACAACTTGACTAGCGCAAAAAAACACCATCCATTTATTTTCACTTACACAAGAAGCCGTTTTTTTATGTGCATTAAACCTATATAAACATTTTACAGTGCAAATGCAAATTCCTTGCTGAAAGTTTAACCAAAAGGCATTTCCAGTAGAAATGGGCTGACATATCCTGAGCATAACCATGTATAATATCCACTGCATTAGGGGTGGGCGATATAAACGATATACGATAGAAACGATATAAATTTGGCCAACGATAGAGATTTTGACTATACCGCTCTACCGCATGTTGATGATGTCATCAAGCTGCGCCTGTTTTGGTCGAAAGCATCGCAGTGGCTATAACCATTATCATCTGCAAATTATGCCGAGCAACAGTCATAGCAAAGAGATGAAGCACTTTTGAAATATGGGGAAAGCCAAAAACTGCGCTTCCTCCACCTCCGTAACATTGATTCATTAATGCTGAATTCTCTCGCAGCTGCTCTGTTCCCATGTTGTTGCAGTATATTAATGACTAACCTCGTATTGTGAATGAATGATCTCAGTTGTTCTCCTGACTGAAGTTTGGCCCGTGTATAGCATCCTGCCATGCGATTGCATGCTGTTTATTTTTCTGTCCTCATTTATGTTGGAAGTGATAGCAGAGCTGTACGTTTGAATTTTTTCAGAAATCTCTCAGTCAGAACATGCTATATCATGCTTAGGTAACTAGCAAAACTTGCAAGCTAACTTCTAACTCCGTTACATGTAATACATTCTGCTTTCATGGATGCCTGGAAGTTAAACTTCATAGTTACACCTGGTAAAGCAGCAATGTTGATCGTTTTATTAAAGATGAAAGAATTTAGACAGTTTTTAACTCTCAGTGATGCCGCAGTGTTCGTTTGACTTTGGGAGCTGAAGTGGAGGGAGTTTAGGACCCAGATTACTTCCAGATTTGCGAGCACCTTAGTCCGACAAACACGACAATAACGACGGCCCGCTTGCATGTTCTACAAAAAAAACCTGCTTTGTCGTGTATCTGACGGACACCAAACCAGTTCAACATCACTGAAGTTGCACCACTTTTACAAACCAATTCTGGTTCATCCGTTTCACTCAACAATCCGCTTTCAATAATTTCCCCCAGGGATCAATAAAGTATTCTGATTCTCCCTTCTCATTCTCCGTTGCCGCCATGCTTTTTCGCCATGTGCGTATGAAAACAAAGGCACTGCGCATGGGCGTTTTAACCATATTCTATCGCGATATTTCATTTTCTTATCGTTGCCTAACATTGTACCGTTATTACCATGAACGGTATAATATGGCCCAGCCCTAATAGGAATGTCGGTTTTGGAGGAGTCAAGGAGGCCATTTATGTGAAAAGAGAAAAACCATCTGTGAACCAAAGAGGGGGCCTAAGGGTACATCTTTCTCCATCTAACAATGGTTTGATTGGAGCCTTTCCCCAGCTCTCTGTGAATGGTACTGATGGATAATATGAAACTGTCATGAAAAGAAGCATTTTCATAATTATGAAACAATCATGAATTATGAAACTAAGTGAAAAGCCCATTGTAAGGCAATGATGGTAGTCTTGTGACAGTACTTACCTGCAGTAAGCCGAGGCTGAAAGTGTCACTTGGTCACAAATGAAACTTTCTAGCTATTGACTTTGAAAATCTGTTTCTGTGTAATCAGCGGCAAATTGTTATTAGTTACCATTAAGCCAGCAAAAAACCTCTTGCAAACACTCAGAGCCTTAAGAAATACTACAGACTTCACTGATACAACATTCAAAATATAACATCTTAACAGATAGCTTGTCCTTTTTTAACACAAAAACCTTCAAAAGTTCACATCACATCATCTTGGCTGAAAGATGTAATTTTCTTCACACAAACACATGTGTTATTAAAGAACAAAGACTGTGGACTGACCTGGATGCCATTGTGAATGAAGCCACGTCGATATCGAGCTGGCCTTAGATGAGGGTATTCTTCTGTACTGGTCACCTTGATTCCCCACACAGATTTCCAGGCTTCATATAGCTGGCTGTGAACTGGATAAACCCCAGAGTGGTGTGGAGCTACTGCATAGCCCATATCTATTGGGATGCCATGCTCCTGGAGAGAGAATGGTACAATAAGAATAAGGGGTAGCTGTAGCTCAGGAGGTAGAGCTACTGATCGGATGGTTGGTGGTTCAATCCCTGGCTCGCCCAGTCTTCATGCTAAATATCCTTGGGCAAGATACTAACCCCAAGCTGCTCTCTGATGAATCCATCGAAGTATGAATGTTAGTCAGAAAGCACTTAAAGTATAAAGGAAAGTGCTTGTGTTAATGAGTGAATGTGGCATGTTGTATAAAGAGCTTTGAGCACTCCGGGCGAGTAGAAATGCAAAGCGCTATATAAGAAACAGAATCCATTTACCAGTAAGAAGACAGCATATGGAGTTAGCAGGTGACAGACAGGTAGAAACAGTTGTAGTCAAGAGAAAAAAAAAGGAGAAAAAAAGATAAAGGACTGATTCATATATAGAGCTTTTTTACTCTCCTGGAGCATTCAAAGCACTTTATACAACATGCCACATTCACTCATTCACACAAGCACTTTCCTCTATACTTTAAGCGCTTTAGTATCTTGCCAGGGATATTTGGGATGAAGCTTGAGGCAGCCAGGGATCAAACCACCAACCTTCTGGTCAGTAGCTGACCTGTTCTAGCTCCTGAGCTACAGCCCCACACAGAGGCAAGCAGATACAGTGAACTTAGTCATACCAAGTCACGATTTTTACAATGTTTTAGATACGAAAAGAAAAAACAAGAAGAAAAAAAGGGAAAACCAGCTGTGACTTGTACTGTTAAGTACTTTGAGTGGTCAGTATGATGAGAAGACTGTTATATAAATGCTATAATACAGTCTACACGCCTTTAGATGCCAGAGTGGCACCAAAATCCAAAAACCAGCTTTCATGTACAGTGGTGTGAGAAAGTGTTTGCCCCCTTTCCGATTTGTGTTTGTCACACTTAAATGTTTCAGTTCAAACAAATTTAAATATAAGATAGGGCTGCTCGATTATGGCAAAAATGATAATCACGATTATTTTCACTGAAATTGAGATCGCGATTATTTGACGATATTTATTTAACCCTTTAAGACCTACTATAGAACCAAGTCCGCCAGAGCTTATATTATTTTTTTTACATGTTGTAGTGCCATTTGTGGGAGCATTTCAAGTTGCTAAATAACTGTTATAGCCCATATTTTAATAATATGTATGCATTAAGTCCATAGTAACTACATTAATTGCAAAAAAGTGCAATAAACTACAAAAAAATTTATATCGTTTTTGTTTTGTTTTTTTACATATATTTCTACTTGGAGAAATTTAAGAGGTTTATCCCTCAAAACTTTAAATACAAAAAAGTTGCAAAAAATAGTTTACAACAACAGGAAATTTATTTTGAGTGTCTTCATAGTTTTATTTTGGAGATACACCAATTTTTATATACTGCAGGAAAAACAAAAAAAACAATCCTATGATGCAAATTTGCAAAGAAAACAGCAGGTGCATCAAAATAAACTATTTCCAGCAGTGCAATTCGAGTTCTAAGCATCCCAGAAACTATTCAGAAAAGTCAAACATGACCAGTATAGGCTTTTAAGGCCTACAAGTAAAAAAACTACATTTCCGCGAAAATGACGTCACTTCCGGTTTCGGCCAGGAAATGGCGGACATGCGACAGTTCGCGCTGACGTCTGTTTCACTGTGGGAAGTGTTACGAACAGCTGATCGGATCGGCAAAGCGTGTTTCTGGAATATTATGTTTTTGTTCCTGCAAGCGCTTTTTATGCAATTTTTGCAAAGCTATATGTGGAAGGAAACCGTGACCGAGGACAAGCTGATGGCATAAGATGTAAGTACAACTCCTCCGGTTTCATATGCAAAACAAATTATTGCGCTAGCTTACGTGGTTCGGGTTCTACAGGGATTTAAAAATAGTTACACAAAACGGAGCATGCTGCTCTGACCGGATTTAAAGGGTTAACAATGACTTTAGAAAATAATATAAAATAGTGTGCAACACCACTGAAGTTTTTTTTTACCTCTCTTTTCAACCAACAGCAGTCACTCTCCTCTCCAAATAACTTCTGCTTAGCTTTCCGAGCTTCCCTCGGGTCCTCTTAATCAGCGGTCTCCAACCTTTTTTGCGCCACGGACCCGTTTATGCCCGACAATATTTTCACGGACCGGCCTTTAAGGTGTCGCGGATAAATGAGGGAGGGGCCAATAATCGGCTCTGTCATTTTTAATGATCGTTGAAAGCCCAGATCGTAATCGTGATTAAAATTCGATTAATTGAGCAGCCCTAATATAAGACAAAGATAACAAGTAAGAACAAAATGCAGTTAATAAATGAAGGAGTTTATGCCGCGATCCAAGGAAACTCACGAACACCTTTTATGCACGGTTTGATAAACATCTATCTCAGGAGCTTTTGCTGGAAGAGGACAGCTGCCCTCTTCAGATATCTCAGGCAGTCGTGTGTAAATACTTCAGGAAAGTAAACACTCAGTAAGCTCCTGGACCAGACAACACTCCAGGTCGGGTTTTCAAAGCGTGTGCCCACGAGCTGGCAGATGTCTTCACAGACATTTCCAACCTTTCCCTGCTCCAGTCTGCTGTCCCAAAATGTTTTAAGAGGACCACCATCATCCCTGTCCCTAAGAAAACTAATGTGAGCTGCCTAAATGCCCATCGCCCTGTAGCACTCACCGCCATTGCTACGAAGTGCTTTGAGCGTACAGTCAAAGCTCACATCACATCTTTAATCCCTGCTTCACTTGATCCACTCCAGTTTGCCTACAACAGATCTATAGACGATGCAATAGCAATTGCCCTCCCCCACCTGGACCAGAAAAAAAAAAGACACATGCGTGCGGATGCTGTTCATTAACTATAGCTCCACCTTCAACACCATCATACCATCCAGACATGTAATGAAACTCCGTGACCTGAACATCAGCTCTTCCCTGCACACCTGGATACTGGGCTTCCTGACAGACAGACCAAAGGTGGTTCGGATCAGCAGCATCACCGCATCCACACTTCCACTCAGCACAGATGCCCCCCAGGGATGTGTGCTCAGCCCCCTGCTGTACACCCTGTTCACCCACGACTGTACAGCAACACACAGCTCCAACACCATCGTCAAATTTGCAGATGACACCATCATCATCAGCTGCATTTCTGATGGAGATGAGACGGCATGCAGGGCAGAGGTGAGAGCCCTGACATCATGGTGCCGCGACAACAACCTGCTGCTTAACGTCAGCAAAACCAAGGAGCTCATTGTGGATTACAGGAGACTACAGAGAGGAGGCCACACCCCCATAGAAGGAGCAGAGGTGGAGAAAGTCAGCTGCTTCAGATTCCTGGGCATCAACATCACCGAGGATCTGAGTTTGTCACACCATGTTGGTGACCTGAGATCAGCACAGCGCATCACCAGGACTGAATTGCCAGCCATGCAGGATCTCTGTAGACATCACTGCATGAGGAAGACGCAGCGGACCCTCTGATCCCAGCCACAGACTTTTCACACTCCTGCCGCCCGGCAGGCGGTGCAGAAGCATTCAGACCCACACTAGCAGACACAGAGACTGTTTCTAGCCACAAGCCATCAGGCTTCTGAACTGTTGACATTCTGCACACACCATTACACACTCAGTACAACTATTGGACTCTATACACTGTCACTGTAACTGCTTTAAATCCTCACTGCACAGTTTTGCACAAACTGTAAATACCAAACAATTGTTTCAAATGTTCTTAATATTTAAAAATAATAAAATACTAAAGTATTATTTTATTATTATTATTGTTATTGTCCTTCTTTAATATACCTGTACACTTTCCATATGTACATGTAAAGCTGAGGGACACAAGAATTTTATTACAGGTAAATGTTAAACTGTTTATCCGTATATGACAATAAAACTTTATAACCCACTCCCCGACTCTCGCTCTGGCTCACGCTTCATGTTCTTTGCTTCCGAGTATATTTCACTTGCTGTTCATTAATAAAGTCTTGTTAGAAAACCAAGTATTGTGCCTCCATCTGAAGTTGCATTCGGGTCCACTTTCACGCTCGGGGCATCCTTAGCAGCAACATGTTACGGCAGCATCGGCCAAACCAGTTATTAGGTTTAGGGAGCGATCGTTTCCCCCACACACACACAGTTCCATGTAGATATGGATTTTTTCCCTTAATAATAAAAACCTTCATTTAGAACCTGTATTTTGTGTTTAGTTGTGTTATCTTGTCATATAATCAAATGTTTGATCTGAAATATACGCAGAAAAACATTTTCTGCCTCTTTCCTCGAAGTTAGCTTGAGACTTCAACTGTTTCTCAATTTTAAAGAAAATTAACTGTCTCTAAAATTATTACATCAGACAACAGCACGTCTATTTAAATGGGTATTTTTCAACATTTTTAAAAGTTGAGCACATTTACAATCAATGAACTATAGCACGTAAGTTCATTTTTCCTGGACAAAGACAGAATCAACCAGGATCTTGCAGCATGTGACATTAGAGACGGCTCACGTGTCTGAAGTAAAGTAAATGAGTCACACTGTCCGATACTATCTGTATAAACCTGTGGATGCATCCTCATATCTACATGCAGGATGTTGCTTCTCTAATCAAAGCAGCTGTCAAAATTATGTACAGGTGAACATGTTTAAAGTTTTGACTGGTACCATCTAACTGGTAAGAACATTTACAAAATGCATTTAGAAAAGTCACTTGACATACCATACCATACCACCTTTATTTATAAAGCACTTTAACATAAAACCAGAGTTCACAAAGTGCTGTACATGCTAAAAGCAAATTAAAATGAGATAAGATAAAATAAATAACTAAAAAACTAAAATAAATTAAAACATGTCAAAACAAATTGAGTCAACCCCTCTAATCAATGCCAAAGGCTTCAGCGAATAAATATGTTTTAAGAAGACTTTTAAATTCAGAGAGAGAAGAGGCCTGCCTTACATGCAAGGGTAGATCATTCCACAACTTTGGAGCAACTACAGCAAAAGCACGATCACCTTTAGATTTATACTTAGTTTTTGGTACCTTAAGGAGCTGCTGATTGGCGGACCTAAGGGAACGGGGAGGTGTATATGGCTGTAGTAGCTCCGAGAGGTAGGGGGGGGCCAGGCCATTAAGAGATTTAAAAGCAAATAAGAGAATTTTAAAAACAATCCTAAAATGTACAGGTAGCCAGTGGAGTGAAATTAAAATTGGGGTAATGTGCTCAAACTTTTTTGTTCCAGTTAAAAGACGTGCTGCAGCATTTTGCACAACCTGCAGGCGCCTAATGGACGCATCAAAATAAAGTACGTTACAATAATCCAGCCTAGAAGTAACAAAGGCATGGATTACTGTCTGAAAATGCTGTTTCGATAAGATAGGCTTTATTTTGGCTAATTCCCTCAAATGAAAAAAAGCTAGATCTTACAGCAGCTCTGACCTGGCTTTCAAGTTTAAGATTTGCCTCTATTTTAACTCCCAGATTAGTGATGACTGGTTTAACATACTGTGCCAGTGAACCAAGATCTATAATAGCCTCAGAAGCGCCACCAAAAACCATCACTTCTGTTTTCTGTTCATTAAAATGTAAAAAGTTCAAAGCCATCCAGGCCCTTATATCATCAAGGCATCTGAGCAGCGGGTCTACTGAGAAGCCATTTATCTTTTTAAGTGGGAAATAAATCTGGGAGCCATCGGCGTAGCAGTGGAAAGAAATCCCATGTTTCCTGAAAATAGACCCAAGGGGTAGGAGATATAGAGAGAAAAGAAGCGGGCCTAAAACTGAACCCTGTGGGACCCCACATTGAAGAGAAGCAACAGAGGATACAAACTCCCCGAGTTTCACAGAGAAAGTTCGCTCTGCCAAATAGGATCTGAGCCACTGCAGTGCGGTACTCCGCATACCCACCAACTCCTCTAAACGGGAAATTAAAATATTATGATCCACTGTATCAAAAGCAGCAGTTAAATCTAACAGCACAATAATAACACAGTCACCTGAGTCATTTGCCAAAAACACATCATTAAAAACTCTTAAAAGGGCAGATTCGGTACTATGTAAAGCTTTAAAACCAGATTGGAAAACTTCTAAAATACCGTGTTCTTCTAGGAAGGACATTAATTGCTTGTAAACTACCTTTTCAAGAATCTTTGAGATAAAAGGCAGTTTGGAAATAGGTCTGTAATTCGCAATAATATCAGGATCAAGAGCAGGTTTCTTGAGTAGAGGCTGAATCACCGCATGTTTGAGATTGACAGGTACAACACCAGAGGACAAACTACTATTTACAATGGATTGTACAGCTGATGCTATAGTGAGAAAAACCTCTTTGAAAAATCGAGGAGGGAGAGCATCATAAGGGAACCTGAGGGCTTCATGTAGGGCTGCCACAAACGATTATTTTGATAGTCGACTAGTCACCGATTATTTATGCGATTAGTCGACTAATCAAATCCACTGGACGTAAAACTACAGCTTATTGCACCAGCAGCATCTGCTCTTATATAACTATCATTAGCTTACAGCTTTAAGCTTTTAAGGTGCTAACTAAAAATAAAGACAAGATGATAGTTTATTCAATTTTAATGAAATTTGCAGATTGTTTCGGTAAAGTTTAATAAACTCCTTGCTATCTAAAATATAACAGGACACCGGAGTAGATTCTGGAGCATCTCACACTTCTGATGATCAGCTGTCTGCTTGACGTTTATTCAGCTGTGTAAAAACTATAACTTTAATCTCAGCCAAACCGATTTACTCAGGAACAAATAAAATACAAGAAAGCCAAACAACAACATTTTTAATTTATCTAAGTGACCCATATATATTTAACCTGAGTCGCGAAAGACGGCGGTGGGTTTGAAAACGATTTGTCGGGAGTCCGGTGTTCTCACGGCGCTAGTGACCTAGCCCCCGGCTAGCTATCGAGCTAGTGGGTAACAGACGTCTCCGAAAACGTCGGAGTGCTTTTGAAAATATGTGGTGTCCTGATAAACTGAGCAGATATTTGAGGTTTACACAGCTACATTCTCGCCTGAAAATATGTTAAACGTTTATTTTGTGACCCAGAAAGAATAATAAGAGTAATATTAAAACTAACTAGCTACCGCCATTGTTGGAAACTAAGCTGGGCCTCGCTATGAATTCTGGGACACAGCTGCTTCTTCTTCTTCGGGGTTTAACGGCAGCTGGCATCCTTGTACATGCTGTGCTGCCATCTTCTGTTTCAGTCCGTTATTACACTCTTAAATCCTGCTATTATTCCTGCGTCTTTTGCGATCTTACAAAGCTTCAAACGAAACGTCGACTATTAAATCAGTCGTCGACGATTTTGATAGTCGACGTAATCGTGACTAGTCGACAAATCGTGGCAGCCCTAAAGCAAACACAGCAGAGGAAGAGCCAGACGGCGAGCCACACACACTGGCGCCATCTTGGAAAAAGATGCATCACAAATACTGCTATATCATGTAAAACTATACGTGACCACTGCTGCAGTGAAGAATATTCACTGAAATGTGAAGTGACATGTCAAAATGACAGAACGGTGTCAGTGTAACTGATCAGATGCACCTGCGGAATTGTTTTTAAAACTGCAGCATCTCCCTCTCTGTAATCTGCTGTATTTTTGTTTTTGTTTTATTGCAGGAAATCAAGCTTCCATATTGTGAGACTGCCCAGTGTAATAATGTTGCCCACCTGAGCAAAAACCTTGTTGAGTCTCATCTGCTCAGCCAGAACGCTGACATTGTGGAAGAGGTGAGGCTGCATGTGGCTCCACATGTGAGGAAACCACCAGAAGTCCATCCTGTGTTGCAGCAGCATGTCATCTCCCTGATCCTCTTCATCAGTGCCTGAATACAAACAAGCAGGTGCACACACAGCATAATTAACATGACCTGATCTGCACCGAATTCACTTTTATCTAGGAAGAGAAAGTGTATGAGATGAGCTTGCCCTGAAACCCAGAATGAACAATTAATGTTTGAGTCAGTGCCAAGTATTTTAAAGTCACAGTAGCATTGCCCCCCTCTGACCACCAAATTCTAAATATTTGTGCCAAATATTTCCCTCAAAGTTTAAGACATTTCACATTCACAGGAAAGGGACTGAAAAATGAATGAAATCATCCAGTCAGTGCTGCTGATCGTGCAGCAGCGACGCTAACAAAAGGAAACCAGTTCTTCCAAACAGACTTTACAGCATCTGTTTTAACCTGCACAGATCAAAACTATACTTGGTAATGTTTCGAGCAGCAAGCTGCACTGATGAAATTATATCAGGCCGTTTTTACACATGAACGTTAGGTCAGGATACAGCGGGTAAAATAAGTATTGAACATACAGTGGGGCAAAAAAGTATTTAGTCAGCCACCGATTGTGCAAGTTCCCCCACTTAAAATGATGACAGAGGTCAGTAATTTGCACCAGAGGTACACTTCAACTGTGAGAGACAGAATGTGAAAAAAAAAATCCATGAATTCACATTGTAGGATTTGTAAAGAATTTATTGGTAAATCAGGGTGGAAAATAAGTATTTGGTCAATAACAAAAATACAGCTCAATACTTTGTAACATAACCTTTGTTGGCAATAACAGAGGTCAAACGTTTACTATAGGTCTTTACCAGGTTTGCACACACAGTAGCTGGTATTTTGGCCCATTCCTCCATGCAGATCTTCTCGAGAGCAGTGATGTTTTGGGGCTGTCGCCGAGCAACACGGACTTTCAACTCCCGCCACAGATTTTCTATGGGGTTGAGGTCTGGAGACTGGCTAGGCCACTCCAGGACTTTCAAATGCTTCTTACGGAGCCACTCCTTTGTTGCCCGGGCGGTGTGTTTTGGATCATTGTCATGTTGGAAGACCCAGCCTCGTTTCATCTTCAAAGTTCTCACTGATGGAAGGAGGTTTTGGCTCAAAATCTCACGATACATGGCCCCACATGACATTCTCCCAATCCTCTGCTGTATCATCCATGTGCTCTCTGGCAAACTTCAGACGGGCCTGGACATGCACTGGCTTCAGCAGCGGAACACGTCTGGCACTGCGGGATTTGATTCCCTGCCGTTGTAGTGTGTTACTGATGGTGACCTTTGTTACTTTGGTCCCAGCTCTCTGCAGGTCATTCACCAGGTCCCCCTGTGTGGTTCTGGGATCTTTGCTCACCGTTCTCATGATCATTTTGACCCCACGGGATGAGATCTTGCGTGGAGCCCCAGATCAAGGGAGATTATCAGTGGTCTTGTATGTCTTCCATTTTCTGATGATTGCTCCCACAGTTGATTTTTTTCACACCAAGCTGCTTGCCTATTGTAGATTCACTCTTCCCAGTCTGGTGCAGGTCTACAATACTTTTCCTGGTGTCCTTCGAAAGCTCTTTGGTCTTGGCCATGGCGGAGTTTGGAGTCTGACTGTTTGAGGCTGTGGACAGGTGTCTTTTATACAGATGATGAGTTCAAACAGGTGCCATTCATACAGGTAACAAGTGGGGGACAGAAAAGCTTCTTACAGAGGACGTTACAGGTCTGTGAGAGCCAGAGATTCTCCTTGTTTGAGGTGACCAAATACTTATTTTCCACCCTGATTTACCAATAAATTCTTTACAAATCCTACCATGTGGATTCATGGATTTTTTTTTTCACATTCTGTCTCTCACAGTTGAAGTGTACCTCTGGTGCAAATTACTGACCTCTGTCATCATTTTAAGTGGGGGAACTTGCACAATCGGTGGCTGACTAAATACTTTTTTGCCCCACTGTATATTCACTCAGAAAATTGGTGATATTTTAAAAGATGCTATTGACATGAAATTCTCAACAGATGTACAATGCATGCAATCCACACATGCAAGCTTTAGTTCTTTCCACAGATCTTTAACTGGATTCAGATCAGGCCTGGCCATTATTGCAGCTTTATTTTCGTTTCCTTGGCTGTGTGTTTGGGATCACTGCCCTGCTGAAACGTCCATCTTCGTTTCATCTTCATCATGTGGGCAAATGGCAGCAGATTTTATTTGAGAATGTATCTGTACATTTTTCCTATTCATCCTTCCTTCAATTATATGAAGCACATCAGTGCTGTATGCTGACAAACAGCCCCACACAATGAGGTTCCCACCTCCAAACCTCATTGTAAGCATGGTGTTTGTGGGGTGATAAGTAGTGTCTTTGACTCCCGTATCCAAGAGAATCTCAAACTATATTTTCCCAGTATTTCACAGGCTTGTGTAAATGTTTTTCAGCAAACTGTAAACACGCCTCAACATGCCTTTTCTTCAGCATCAGAGTTGTGTATGGTGAGCGTGCATACAAGCTATGGTGGTTGCATTACTTATTGTTTTCTTGGAAATAATTGTACAGGCTGCTTCCAGATCTCTCTCCACAAGTGGTCATCAACTTTTTCAGCTGGTACTGTGATTTTCCATGCCTGTCACGCCTCCCTTTCTTCATTTGTTGAATACTTCTTCCTTTCTCATTATTACAGATAATTTATGGACCATCTATGGTTTAATTTCTTCTGGATTGGACACGTTGTTACCGACATCTGGTAAAAGGGTTCATGTCAATAGCACTGCGGCAGGTCTCTGGCCTGCTGCAGTGATCTCATGAGACTGTGTCAGGCTGGCAGTGGGGACAGGTGTTTATGAGGGGACTAATGACTCCCTCTCTTTATATAGTAACGGAGGAGACACTGTGGAGGAAACTGCAGGAAGAGTTCGCTCCAGGCTTCAAGTTGTGCCGAAATAAAAAAAGAGAGCTTGTGATGAAAATAAAGCAACAAAAACCACAAGCAGCGTTAGAAATATTTTTACTTGTGTTGACATGTTGAATACTTTAACCGCTTTATGTTCCACATTTGTACTTTTCCACATGTAGCACAGCAGGAAATGAGTGACCTTCTGAATACACTGAGGGGTCACTACACCAGCATAGAACACAAGTTTCCATTTTCACCTGCATGTTTGAATAGAGCAGTCTAAAGAAGTTCATGGCTGTTGTGAATGTAGAAAAACAGAAAGATTATGCATACCTGTGTGATAGAACTTTCCCGAAAACCCCAAGTTAAAGGTGAAATTTGGGACCAGTGCTCGCAGTTTGTTTTGTGTGTTGAGCAATGCCTGTAAAAGGATGACACATTTTAACCGTTGCCAATTACAAAAATCAAGCCTTACTAACAGAATCTAACCTGAAGGATGAAATTTGACAAAGAGCAGAAATGCCACACAATGGGTGAAACACAGGTCCATCCTTGTAATATGAAATAATCAGTCAAATGGATAGAGTCAAACATTTATCCAACCTACCACCTACAATTACATTAGATTCAAGAATTCCAGTTAGTTACAAATAAATGAAACCTAAAGAGGCAGTGAAAGGAGCTTGCAAAGAAAAGCATCTGGACTTCTTTAAGTTGCTTGAAGACGTTTCACCTCTCATCCGAGAAGCTTCTTCAGTTCTAAGGTCAAATGGTGGAGAGTCCCAGATATAAACCTAGTGGGAGTATCCCTCCACAAAGGGACAAAAGGACCCCCTGATGATCCTCTAATCGCCTGAGCCAAGGTGTGAAACTGGGTGTGGGTCCCAATCAGCCAGAGTTTCGGGTGTTCATTGTGAAACCTGGCCCCACCTTATCATGCGAATTCCTGAGGTCAGATGGCCCAGGATGTGAGTGGGCGTTAAGGCGTCTGGGAAGGGATCTCAAAACTGGATTATAGATGGCAGACAGTTGGTGTCGTAAACCACCACCTCTGTTCAAAGATGGTCACTCACAGTGGACATAGATGGCTTCTTTCACTCCTCTTTCAAACCATCTGTCCAAAATGTGAACATTGTCATCCTCGAAAGAGTGTCCTTTGTCCTTAAGATGCAGATGGACTGCTGAGTCTTGTCCTGTGGAGGTGGCTCTACTATGTTGTGCCATGCGCTTGTGAAGTGGCCGTTTGGTCTCTCCAATGTAGAGGTCTGAGCATTCCTCGCTGCACTGTACAGCATACACCACATTGTTAAGTCTGTGTTTTGGCGTTTTGTCTTTCGGGTGAACCAGTTTCTGTCTGAGCGTGTTGCTGGGTCTGAAATACACTGGGATGTCATGCTTGGAGAAAACTCTCCTGAGTTTCTCTGATACACCGGCTACATAGGGGATGACAATGTTGTTGCGTCTGTCCTTCTTATCCTCCCTCGCTGGTGTCTGGTCTTCTTTTCTGTGCCTCTTTGCTGACTTTAAGAACGCCCATTTAGGATAGCCGCACGTTTTGAGTGCTTCCTTTACATGTGTGTGTTCCTTCTTTTTTCCTTCAGGCTTAGAGGGAACATGTTACATGGGACTCTCCACCATTTGACCTTAGAACTGAAGAAGCTTCTCGGATGAGAGGTGAAACGTCTTCAAGCAACTTAAAGAAGTCCAGACGCTTTTGTTTGCAAGCTCCTTTGACTACGATGACCTGGATGACTGAGAACCTTCACAGACCTAAAGAGGCAGTGAAAGGTGGAACCTGAAACATTTCAAACTCTACTGCATATCTCCTTGTTTCTGCAGGTCAAGCTTTAATGAGCTTTAGAAAAAGGGTTTAAAAGATCAAAATTATTCAAAAATCAATCACTCAAAGATGGTGGCAGCTTTAAATATATTATCCTTCATCATTTTTCCATTAAATAGTCAGCAATGAATCAAATGTTAGGATTCAAAAACACCACTGAAAGTTTGTCTGAAATGTGATATAGACTTGATTGTTTCAGTTTTTTAGTAACAATTTTAACATTTTAGTAGTACTGAAATAGATTTTTTTTGTGTTTTATTATCCGTAGGCAGTATCACAATATCAAAAAAGCCAATTTTGCAGGTGAATTTTTATATGAAGTCTACTAGGGATGCACCACATTTTCTAAAGTACTCGTACTCGTTAAAAGTCCCCCGATACCGAGGACCGATAGCACGGTCTGAGACCTGTCTATGTTTGAGTGGCATGTAAGGGGTTAATCCCACGCTGTGTTGCTGTACCCACGCTTATTTACCCATGCTTATTAGCACAGAGGAGCATAGCTGATGCTAAAGCAGTGGGGGCGGAAAATAGTTGGGTATTTTAAACATTCCGCCTTAGCCTACTCCCGCCTCGAGGACATTCAGGGACAGCTCAACCAGCCAATAAAGAGACTGCAGCAGGACGTACAGACGCGCTGGAACAGCACGTATTACATGCTCCAGTCCCTCATTGAGCAAAAGCGAGTGCTGGGCGTGTCCGAGCACGAACTCCCTTACTATCTCACCGCTCACCAATGGGCTCTTATGGAGACGACTGTTCTCGTCCCCTTTGAGGAACTAACTAAAAAAAGTGAGCAGCTACGATGCACTAGCCTCTGATGTCATCCCAGCTGTGACTGTGCTAGTGAGACTTCTAAACAGAGAAACAGATGAACAAATTTAAAATTAAATTTTGTTTTTTTTATAATTATTTATAAAAAAAACTATTATTATAAATTATTTATATATGGCACGGTGGTTAGCACTGTTGCCGCACAGCAAGAAGATCCTGAGTTAAATTCCACCATCAGGCCGAGGTCTTTCTGTGTGGAGTTTGCATGTTCTCCCTGTGTTTGCGTGGGTTCTCTCCGGGTACTCCGGCTTCCTCCCACCGTCCAAAGACATGCAACTTGTGGGGATAGGTTAATTGGATAATCCAAATTGCCACTAGGTGTGAATGTGAGTGTGAATGGTTGTCTGTCCCTATGTGTTAGCCCTGCGACAGACTGGCGACCTGTCCAGGATGTACCCTGCCTCTCGCCCTATGACAGCTGGGATAGGCTCCAGCGCCCCCCGCGACCCTGAAAAGGATAAATGGAAGCGAATGGATGGATGGATAATTATTTATTCTGTAATATGTTGCATACAACATGCTTTTCATTTTAAATAAATGTTCTTAATTCCAAACTAGTCCCTTGTTTGTTTGTTTTTTGTTAAATTATAGGACTAAAGCTGTTACCTGCAAATTTAAATCATGTTTTCATTAAGTACTCGGTATCAGCGAGTACTAAATGCAAGTACTCGTACTCATTTCCAAAAAAGTGGTATCGGTGCATCCCTAAAGTCTACTTTTTACCAAACTGTAAACAGAGTGCTATTAACAAGCAAATCATTTTTTGATCTTAGCTACATTAATTGAAAAGGGTTTAACAAAAGTATTGCAAAGATGTTTTTAATATAGATAATATAGATACAACCATTTTTAGACACAGACGCATATTCAGATGCTCAAAATTAATTGGAGAATTCACTAAAACAGTTTCATGGCCAGATGTTTCCTTATTATCTCATGGCAAATTAAGCAGATAAAAGAACTGGAAATTATTCCAACTGCTGAACTTATATTAGTTATATTTTAAATTGAATGCTCAGCATGAGGTCAAATAGAGTTTGATGCAAATTAAAGAGGCCATTAGGACAGCGTATTGTCCCAGATTTCAACAAGCGATTCAATTCTGATTCATAAAGTCCTGATTCAACTCAATCCCGCGCTGGAAGATCAAGATGGCCATCAAGATGGTGCCGCGGATGGTCGCCCTGGTGCTTCAGTGCTTTACTTTTGTTTTGTTTTTGTGCATTTCTTCCGTGTCTGGGCACTCCTCTGGATACTCGTACACCAGAGAAGAGCTCCTTAACTACAGGACTACAACGCCTGTGGATTTATTTCCAATATTTGTCGCATCTGCGGCAGATTTACTGCTGACTCTGACCAGGAAAGCGAGACGCCGAAAGAGAGGGAAGCGAGCCGGCGCACTCGTGCGTTTGAGGAGACGCGGACTGCGAACTGCTCTTCCTGGGATCTTCCTTTCTAATGTACGCTCACTCGGGAATAAGATTGACGAACTGGCCCTGATGAGAAGCATGAACAGAGACTTTGCCTCCTCCTGTGTCTTATGTTTTACGGAGTCGTGGCTCAGTGAGAACATCCCAGACTGCGCGCTCAAGCTGGAGGGCTTCCATCTGCTGCGCGCGGACCGGCAGGCCGCTCTCTCCGGTAAGTCCAAAGGTGGAGGTCTCTGCTTCTACATCAATAGTGGCTGGTGCACAGATGTGACAGTGATTGCTCAGCACTGCTCTTCCTCTCTGGAATATCTTTTTATCCACTGCAAACCGTTTTATTCTCCGCGGGAGTTTGCTTCATTCATCCTGGCCGCTGTTTACATCCCGCCAGACGCAGATGCGCAGGCAGCTCAGTGCGCACTCGCGGAGCAGATACTGCACATGGAGCGGACATTCCCGGACTCTCTCATCATTGCTCTTGGGGACTTTAACAAAGCCAATCTGAGCCATGAGCTTCCAAAATATAAGCAGTATATTAAATGCCCGACCAGAGAGGAGAGGACATTGGACCACTGCTACAGCACGATCAGCGGGGCCTATCGCGCGGTGCCCCGCGCTTCACTCGGACTTTCTGACCACGTCATGATCCACCTAATCCCCGCGTACAGACAGAGGCTGAAGCTCTCCAAACCTGTCGTGAGGACTAAAAAACTGTGGAGCAACGAGGCTGTGGAGGAGCTTCGCACGTGTTTGGAGACCACAGACTGGGACACAATGAAGGCTGCTTCTAACAGCTTGGACGAGTCTACGGACACTGTCACCTCCTATATCCACTTCTGTGAGGACAGCATTGTGCCATCACGCACCAGGGTGAGTTATAACAATGACAAACCCTGGTTTACTCCTAAACTCAAAAAGCTGTGGCTGGAAAAGAGAAAGGCGTTCAGAAGCGGAGACAGGGACTGCTACAGAGAGGCCAAGTACAGGTTCACTAAAGAAGTGGACATTGCTAAACATCAGCACTCTGAGAAGATGCAGCAGCAGATCTCAGAGAATGACTCGGCCTCTGTGTGGAAAGGTTTTAGGAATATCACAAACTACAAGCCTAAAACCCCCCACTCCACTGATGACTTGCTCTTAGCCAACACCCTTAACGACTTCTACTGCCGTTTTGACGAGCCATCAGGCAGCCTTCACACCTCCAACGGCCCCAACAATAGAGACACTTTGGACACTAATTCCCCCACCTCTCCCCCCTCCATAGAGCCATCACCACCTTCTAACCGTTCACCTACAACACCCCCCTCCTCACCCCACACAAAAGAGGATTTCACACCACCTCCTCCCACCACAACTCTTCATATTCATGAAGCAGATGTGAGGAAGCAGTTTAAGAACCTGAATGCTCGGAAAGCTCCCGGCCCAGACGGCGTGTCTCCTGCCACCCTCAGACACTGTGCAAACGAGCTGGCCCCAGTGTTTTCTGGCATTTTCAACTCCTCACTGCAGGCATGTCATGTGCCTGCCTGCTTCAAGTCCTCCACCATAATCCCTGTCCCCAAGAAACCTAGGATCACTGGACTAAATGACTACAGACCCGTGGCTCTGACATCTGTGGTCATGAAGTCTTTTGAGCGCCTAGTTCTCTCCCATCTCAGGACCCTCACGGCCCCCCTCCTGGACCCCCTGCAGTTTGCATATAGAGCCAACAGGTCTGTAGACGACGCCATCAACATGGCCCTACACTTCATCCTGCAGCATCTGGACTCCCCAGGAACCTACGCCAGGATCCTGTTTGTGGACTTCAGCTCTGCCTTCAACACCATCCTTCCAGACCATCTCCGAGACAAGCTTTCCCAGATGAATGTGCCTGATCCCATCTGCCGGTGGATCACTGACTTCCTGACGGACAGGAAGCAGCATGTGAGGCTGGGAAAGAATGTCTCGGACTCTCGGACCATCAGCACCAGCTCCCCTCAGGGCTGTGTTCTTTCTCCTCTGCTCTTCTCCCTGTACACCAACTGCTGCACCTCCACCCACCAGTCTGTCAAGCTAATCAAGTTTGCAGATGACACCACCGTTATTGGACTCATCTCGGACGGGGACGAGTCTGCCTACAGGAGAGAGGTTGAACGTCTGGTGTCCTGGTGCAGCCACAACAACCTGGTGCTGAATGCCCAGAAGACAGTGGAGATTATTGTGGACTTCAGGAAGCACACAGCTCCACTCCCCCCCATCATCCTGACTGACACCCCCATCACCTCTGTGGACTCATTCCGCTTCCTGGGTACCACCATCATCCAGGACCTGAAGTGGGAGCCCACCATCACCTCCGTCATCAAGAAAGCCCAGCAGAGGATGTACTTCCTGAGGCAGCTGAAGAAATTCAACCTGCCAACACGGACGATGATGCAGTTCTACACTGCAATCATCGAGTCCATCCTCACCTCCTCCATCACCGTGTGGTACGCTGGAGCCACTATCAGGGACAAACAGAGACTGCAGCGTGTTGTGCGCTCTGCTGAGAAGGTGATTGGCTGCAGACTCCCATCTTTGCAGGACCTGTACACCTCCAGGACATTGCGGCGTGCAGCTCGGATCTCAGCTGACCCTTCTCACCCTGGACACAGTCTGTTTGACCTGCTCCCCTCAGGCAGGAGGCTCCGGTCCATTCGCACCAGAACCTCTCGCCATAAGAACAGTTTCTTCCCCTCTGCTGTTGGACACATGAACAATAACCATATGACTGTACCCACCACTAACACATGACCCTACGCTGTGTTCACTGCATCATTCCATGATTGGCACTGATCACCACCTGCACTCATGTATATATCTTTCAACGTAGCACTCTTAATTCTTATTCTCATGTATATATCTCATGTATATCTCATGCACATATCTTTCCACGTAGCACTTTTAATTCTTATCCCTACTTTTATTTTTTTCCATGTCTATTTAAGTGCTATTTATGACACTATGTTTGCACTGAAGCACCGCAGCAATTTCCTAATGTTGTAAACCTGCTCAACATTTGGCAATAAACCCCATTCTGATTCTGATTCTGGAAGCAAAACAGCCAAAATAAGAGAAAATTTATATCAATTTTTTTTCAAACATGAAACGTTGTTTTACACTTCTTTTACTGCTGGTTCAATGAATTCTGGTTGGAGAGTGACAAAACCTGCAGTTTCAGAATCTGTGAGATGTCCACTTTAGCACCCGACGGTGTGAACAATCGCACTTTGTGTTTACATTTTTGCGGAGTCCATTCACCTGCTCTTTAAGGCAGCTGTTGGAGTACTTTTGTGTACTCTTACCTGAGATTTTGGCATTTCTGGAAAACAACCATTTATATTTAAAAAATGATTTTCACGTTTTAAGAATCTATATCAGATTATTCAAATTAAATTAAATTTGAATTGGGAAATTGATTTTTCTAAATCCTAGAGGCCATCACTGGAATAAACAAACAAACCTACCCTATAAGGTAAAGTCTCCACAGCCGACTCTGTGCAGTGACAACAAGGGCGTAGATTTGGCTTTGGCATTGGTGGAGACGGATGATTCAACCACCGAACCCTGCCCTGTTTCTTATTTTTTCCTTTTTCTCTTTACTTCTTGATAAAAAAAAGGAGAAATATACTTGCCTACATATGCTATTCTACATGCTTTTAAACCATTTAAAATTATAATTCATAGTTTTATATGTGAATTATATAACGTTAAATTACTATTAAACAAATGACTGATATATACAAAAAAACTTGAATTTTACAGTGTTTACTTATTGGATAAAATAAGTTAAATGTCACTGTTATTATTGTCCAAATTCAGAGGCTGCGTCCACCTGAGGACCCGGCCTTTTCGGTCTAAGTGGGCCGGGTCCTCCGAAAGCCGGGGAGACCGGAAATGAGCGACTGTGAAATTGGATATTCTAGCCGTCAGAATTACGTCACCTCTGCCGTCTGCTCCTTGCTGTCTAAAATATAACCGGACACTGGCGTAGATTCTCGACCGTCTCACACTTCTGTTTAATTAGTTTTCTGATTGACATTTATTTAGCTGTGTGAAAACCCCGGAGGAACCCTCCCAAGGGATTAATAAAATTTTATTTAATCTAATCTAATAACTTTAATCTCAGCTAAACCGATTTACTCACGAACAAATAAAACACAGAAAAAGGCCAAACAATAACATGTTTAAGTTATTTGAAGTTTACGCAGCTACATTCTCGCCTGAAAATATGTTAAAAGTTTATTTTGCAACCCAGAAAGATTAATAAGAGTAATATTAAAACTAAGTAGCTGCAGTAGTAGTAGCCATTGTTGGAAACTGGAATTGGCTGGGCCAATCTGGGATATGGTTTTTCAATTTTGTTGCCCAGGTGGAAAATCGGGAGAAATTGGGGAGAATGGTGGCTCCGGGAGATTTTCGGGATTCTCCCGGAAAAATCGGAAGTGTTGGCATGTATGGCCTAGCATAGCCTGTAACGTTATTATGAGGGACACATTTTATGAGTGAGCTTGACTTTAAGTGACTTACAGGTTTCTTTGAAAAATATTTTTTTTAGATTCAGGTCTTTCCTTTTTGCTGCCATCCTCCTCTCCTCCTTGCAGGTCCTCGCAGCGCAGGCTTGCTGCTGCTAAAACTAAACAGAGCTCCCTGAAGGGCACAGTCAATCACATTGGCCATATTTGTCACATGAGGTAGGACTCCAGTTGAGGACGTAATTTAACTCTTTCTGCACAGCTGGGTGAGTGAGACATTGACAGATGTTTTTTTGTTTGTTTGTTTTTTTCTTTCTATCGGGTTTGTTTTTCTTCACTCGAAGAGATCAAATTATTGGTGGGGAGAGTTCAATAATCGCTGTATATTGGTGGGGACATGTCCCTTCCGTCCATGCCAAATCTACGCCCTTGAGTAACAAAAAACAAAAAAACAAACAAATAGAAATTTTGGGCACTGGGGCCCAGAGGGACTCATGGATGTGGAATTCTTTTCATGGTAAGAAGAACTGATTCAAAATTAATCTAGGGAAGTTATGCCTACCTCAAGAGTGTTCCTATCATTGTCTGAGCAGGGTACCGATCAGTACCCAATAGCGCGGCTTTTCATTTTCTGCTTTCTGTTTTAACTTCAGTGAGACTTGGTGATGTCTAAGGAAACTGCAAAGAATTTTCATCTGAGCATTAAAAATAATCCATATACATAAAATTACTTAGAAACCTCTGAAATGGGATACTGTGCATAAAAATGGATATAATTCCTAAACAGTTAATGTAATGTATTTGTTAAACCCCTTGAATTGAAGGTGATATTCTACACTTTAATCACATCTTGATTGTTTGACTTAAAATCAACTTTGGTGGTGTACCAAGGCAAAATTGCAAAAACTTTGGTACTGTAAATAAAAACAAACACAAAACAAAACAGAGGAACCAACTGTATGTACGGCTGACAAGGCTCACCCACCTCCACATCAGACACCTTCATACGGGTTCCCTCCTTGCCAACAAATATGTCGTCCACGTCTACGAGGATGTGACGGTCCAAGGACAAACACAGTCTCTTTCCTGTCAAGTAGGCAATAGCATCCACAAACACTAGCTTGTGAAGCCAGTAGTTGAGATTATTTCCAAAAAGAACTCTTTGAATGCCATCGTGGAGCCCCAAGTCTTGGATTACTGTGGCATGAAGGGCCCGCAAAGGGCTGGGTCCAAAATGCGCCAGTGTATCTGAGGTCTTGGTTCTAGCTAGAAGCACTGGTTCATAGGTAGAATGGTTAGACTGGAAAATGGTCCAGTCATCGCCTGGTAAGGAGCCCTGCTCCATCTGATTAGGCTTGGTGATGTAGAGTAGAGGAGCAGCGGGGTTGATGCGGTAGTCCCTGAGTCCCAAGTGCGAGTGTAGATAGAGAGGAAAGCCTTTGAGCTGTGCACTGAAAGGAGAGTTTTCATTCGCTTTGAAAAAGCCAATGACACCTACTCCATACTCAGCACAATACTTGTCCAGCAAGTCACGGTTCCACGAATCAAGATTGACATATTTCAAGACATTTTCATAGATGATCAAAGTATAGCGTCCACGGTTACGTTCTGTCAATGTGGGCATGTCACCTTTACCAGGAGCAATCTCTGTCCGGTAGTGAAAGCGACTTGACTCCAATATGGCTACAATCTCCTGGCCCAGTTGGGAATAGATGCTCTCTACAAATACCAGAACCACAGGCTCCGTCTTTAAATTATCCTTAACATGGTGTAGTTGTCCCTGGCGCGGAGGAAGAAAAAGTGGTGCCCTCTGGCCACCTGGCCCTCCTTCTGCATCGCCCGTACTTACTCCTAGTGAAATCCCACCACCTCCGCCACAATCACTAAAAGGTAAAGGAGGGGCCTCCTTGATTTTTGGGCTGTTGGAGACATAGTAAGCTAAAAAGGCCATGGACAGCAAGCAGAAGATGATGAGCGCCAGGATGAGGCGATGGAGCTCTAGCTGGCGGACACCTCGCATTAGCTTCCAAACACCCAACCCTGAACCCACCATGGTGTTTGGAGGGTAAAGGCAGGACTGGACAGCAAGAGGCAGTAATGATTAAGGAAGGACAGCAGATAAGGGAAGTAGGAGCAAGAGGAGAGGGGAGTGGAAGAGGAAGATCGAGCAGTAGATACTGGCACCGGGATGTGCTGAAGAATAGCCATTTACACTACGTCACCATGGCCAACATCATCCATTACCTCTTCTGTCCTTATGGCTCAGCAGTGTCAAAAAACAAACAAACAAAAAACTCTGCAACTTCCTTTCTCCAATTTGAAAGGTACCAATACAGGGTCTGAAGAGTAAGAAATGTAAGATGGGTCAATAAAAATGAACACCAACACCAGTGGTCTCTGGCTGAGAACTGGTCGGGGTCTTCAATACCACACCAAAAGTTCAATCTCAAGTTCCTGCCGGTTGGTCAGCAGTTCTTAAAAAGTTTAAGCAGATATTGCACAATGCGAGTGTCTCTTCTTTTGCAGATGCCTGACAAGTCCGTCAGCCATGGAAGCATCAATGCTTGTAGAATGTATTTTGGGGCCGACCCTCCTTGGGACACATTGTCTGTACATTGCCGAAAGACACCTGGAAAATGGGGAGAGACAAGTGGGAGGGTGAGAAAAAGGCAGTGAAAATTACAACAAAGGGTAAGGGGGAAAAATGATTCACTAGACATCAGCTGTTAGTTCTTAGAGCCATTCTCAAAAATTCCATGTTTTCTGTAGCCACAATTACGATATTAAACAGAAGAAAGTACTACTCTACACACACCATGGACAAAGCAAAATCAACTACACATTTTATAGCTTGTGTTCCTCCCCCTCCATTCCCCTAGAATTTACAAAGTACAAAGAAAGTAAATTGTCAATACTCAGCAATGTGCCAATTCTGCATCACTTTAACATCTGTTTCATTGCTACACTAGAAAAAAATCACTTGGTTTAGACGAGAGTTTTAGTGATAGTGAGAGTTTAAGTATAGGAACTCTGGTAGTTACTAGGGGTGGGCGATATAAACGATATACGATAGAAACGATATAAATTTGGCCAACGATAGAGATTTTGACTATAGAGATTGAAAATGTGACGTCACTCAGGGGTAAAACCGCAAAGAATTCTGGGAACTCGTGGCAAGAGGTACTAGCGCACGCAGGCTTTCAATTGAAATCAGTTATACAGCGATAAAAAGAAGCCCAAAAAATGGCAAGAAGCTGTTGTATTATTAACTGCAATAGCCGGTCGCATGACAGCCACGGAAAGCCGACGGGTAAAGAGATCGGTTGTTATCGGATTACGTCGTTGAAGAGAAATTGTTCGAGCCATGTTTCCGAAGTAACAAAGAGGCGACGGATGGTCTGGATTGCAGCCATTCAAAGACCAAATATAACGTCCCAGAACACTCCAGCTCACAGGTTAGTCTGCTCCAAGCATTTCCACAAAGGTCAGTCTGCTGTTGTAGTTAATCCGTCATTTTTCTTAACATAATTGGTGATATAGGTTACAAGCAAGTCTGGCGCTGAACAGAAATTGTGGCGCTATGCTCCTTTGTTTATTGTGCATAAATAGTGAATTGTCCTGACACAATATTGTGTTTCGCTTCTGTTATTATGGTACATTGACAAAAACATGTACTTTTATTCACAGGATAAAACAGGTTTTTTGTATCACTAATTGTCCAGTACGATTACAGCATACAATATTATTGTCACTGCTACATCTCTGTGATGGGTACCAGAAATTATTTCTACTACTAATTAATTACCGTTGAGCTCAAAGGTTATATTAATAAACGGTTAACAAATGTGTATTTATGACGACGATTTGTGAGGCTGGTAAACTTATGATATGTACGATGGTCTTTACTTTCTACACGGTGCATTTCAAGGTCCTGCACCCATCCGTCGGTAAACTGTACCTGGGCTTGTTGCAGTGACCTGAAGTTACTAAACTTCATGAGTGTATGCACTCACTCCAAGAACCGTATAATTATAAATATGAGCGTGGTGAAGTTGGGCAGCACGCTAACGTATTTTGTCCCTCTGTGTGCTCGTAAGGATCTAACACTTTCACTGGTTTGATTTTTTTCCTCGTATCTTTTCTTTGACTTTTCATTAAGTCTGTCTTTGTACGGACCGGCATTGTTCTCCTTCGTTTTGTACATACCTTTTTGGGGGGCAAAGAAAAAGCAAGAATTTATTGGAACCGAAGAATGAACGTTTTGCGGTGCTGCAAATGCTTGCATTTGATGCAGGTACTTGGATTGTTTTGCCACGAGTTACCGGCATGCAATGCGCGAAAGTCACGTGGTCTGTCAATCTCTATACCGCTCTAGCGCGATAGCGCATGTTGATGATGTCATCAAGCTGCGCCTGTTTTGGTCGAAAGCATCGCAGCGGCTACAACCATTATCATCTGCAAATTATGCCGGGCGACAGTCACAGCAAAGAGATGAAGCACTCTTGAAATATGGGGAAAGCCAAAAACTGCGCTTCCTCCACTTCCGTAACATTGATTCATTAATGTTGAATTCTCTCGCAGCTGTTCTGTTCCCATGTTGTTGCAGGATATTAATGACTAACCTCGTATTGTGGATGAATAATCTCAGTTGTTCTCCTGACTGAAGTTTGGCCCGTGTATAGCATCCTGCCATGCGATTGCATTTGTCCCTGACCACCAGAATCCCTCACGTTAACTTTTATCGAGTGGAAAAAAAGTTGGCGTTCATCCTCCAGCTTCACTGTGCTAATGTTATGCTAACATAGCTGTGTCGCTAGCAATCACGTAGCACAACATTATATACCAGGTAGTCCAACTTCAGTAACCCTAACTTTTAGGTTTATGTAAGTATGTCTGTGAAGGTTCTCGGTCATAGTAATCTAAGGAAATTGGAAAGAAAAGCTTTTTTAAAAATGTTTTTTAATTAATTAATTAATTTTTTAGGTCTGACACTTTTTTTTTGTCTTCCCTTTGCCAGGGTCGCAGCGTTTTCTTGGGAGAAATGTTTCGTCACTCATCCAAGGAACTAGGTACTTCAGTCACCGTTTATAAGGTTGGGGAAACCTGCAGACAGCTGAGTCTGATGAGTGACAAAACATTTCTCCACTGAAAATGCTACTCTAGATCAACACAATCCCCTTTTTGGTCATGCTGAGATATGCCAATTTTGAGGCAACATCTAAATAAATAATTTAGACTACAGAAATGAGAACAAATGAAGCATTTCTGAAAATAAAGTGTCTTAAGAGAGAAACAGTTTATTCCTAAGATGTTTGTTATGTGAAGGCAATAGGGCATACTTTTACTCAAGACTTTTGCACAATACTGTCTCAATGAAAATTTGAGAAAACACTGATTACACAGATAAAATGTATCAGGATAAGATCTGTAGATGACTATAGTTCTGATCGAAAGTTTAAGATCACTTCAAAATGCTTGTTGATGGAGCTGCAGAAGCTGGTGACACCTAGCATAATCAGCCGGATGATTGACACTTACATGCTCATGCAAGTTAGCCGTGTTTGAATACTTTGCTTACACACCGCTTTGGTCATGTTTGGAAACTTGATTTCTGTTTAGGGGGTGTTTTTTTTTGGAGGTGTGATCCTAAACTTTTGATCAGGTGTAAAAACAGCCTGTTTCAGTTTAAGCATTGTTTTCAATAAATTGCATGATTGAAAAATATTTCATCTCACTCCCATTTCTTCTTGTTGCATGTTAAAACTCTACTTTAACCCTGTTAAGATCCAAACATGCAAAATAAGATTTTTTGCCATTTTTCAAGTGGTCTTAAACTTTTGATCGGCACTGTAGTATAACTCTGATGCCTCTAGAACATGAAGATGGACTAAAGTTGAATAAGGAATAAAATGTACTGACATTACTTGAACAGCTTTCCATCCACAGTTGCAAGTCCTTCAGCTCAACATTGGTGCCACCATCTGAAAAAGGAAAGATGAGATAGGAGTGATTAAGATAGTGAGCATAGGAGTACAGAAAAAAAAATACAGAAAATTCAAGTTATTAGAATAGAATAGAATAGAATTCAACTTTATTGTCATTGCACATGCACAGGTACAGGGCAACGAAATGCAGTTTGCATCCATCCAGAAGTGCTTTAGTGATATAGATATATTACAATATATATATTAGCAATAATATAGATATGTGAGTATATTACAGAAATGGGTCTATTACGGTATGTTATAATGTACACGGTATGAAGTATGTTGTGAATATTCTATAACTATAAGTATGTACAGGCTGTAGTGAGTACAAGCTATGTACAGGCTATGAACAGGATATAAATATGAAAAACTATACAGAATATGAAATAAATAACTTTACAGAATCTGAGATATACAGCTATACAGAAATGGGAACTGTGCAAGTTGTAAACAGTTGTAGGGTTAAAGATTATCGAATGTACAGAATGATTATTTACACAGAGCTATACAGTAGTGCAGTTAAGATAAGTGAGGGTGTGGATAGTTTCTACAGAGGCTATATAAAGTGCTAGTGGTTGTGAGTGGCGGTTCAGTCCATGTTATTATTGTGTGTTTGAGGGTACAGTTGTCCATTGTGGGTGTGTGTGTGTTCAGTCCATGTGTTAACGTGGGTCAGATGTCAGGAGGCAGAGTTCAGGAGTCTGACAGCTGTGGGGAAGAAGCTGTTCCGGTACCTGGTGGTCTTAGTCCGGAGGCTCCTGTAGCGCCTCCCAGAGGGCAGGAGGGTGAAGAGTCCATGTGATGGGTGACTGGGGTCTTTGATGATTTTCCCAGCCCTTTTCAGACACCGCTTCCTGTAGATGTCTTTCATGGCAGGAAGTGGTGCTCTGGCGATGCGCTGGGCAGTTTTCACGACCCTCTGCAACGCCTTCCGGTCCGAGGCAGAGCAGTTCCCGTACCAGACTGTTATACAGTTGGTCAGGATGCTCTCGATGGTGCAACGTAGAGCTGGGCGATATGAGATTTTTTCATATCACGATATGTTTTTTTTTTTCATTTCAGGCGATAACGATATCTATCACGATATAAGCCAAATAACTATATTTGTAAGATTTAATTGTGCCGTTGCTCACAAGTAAAATGTGAAATAATCAGCACCTTGTTTTTATTTAAATATTTATTTCCCATAATAAGTTCATCCATTAAGCGGACGCGAATGGATGGATGAAGTTCAACAGGGTAGATGTACTTAAGGAACATGAGACTTTTCCAGATAAATAAAGGCAAATATTGCAAACTACACAAAAGGCAGCCGCTAAAGCGTTTAAGTTTCAAAATAGAACAAACGAAACAGACTACTAAATTGTCAATTCCACTTAGAAACAAAATATTAATTCTAAAGATAAATCTTTGTTTGTTTTACAGAAGAACAGACAAAACTGACTAACTTTTGTCAATATCAAATAAACTGAGAACTAAAAGGAAATTCTCAATCTCTCCTTGTTGTATAGCTTAGCTTTTCAAACAGTTTTAACAGTTACTTTAGTCTGACGAATTAGCGCTTCCAGTCAGAGACTGAGGCTACGTCCACACGTACGCGGGTATTTTTGAAAACGGAGATTTTCCGTTTTCGTTTTAAAAAAATAATCCCGTCCACACATAAAGGCTGAAATGAAGGAAAACGCTGCTATGAACATGCCAAAGCAGCAGGTGGCGCTAGATTCCTAACCATGCAGAAATGTTGGCCAATCAGAAGTCTAGAAGCCTCGGTGGGAAAAAGTAAACAAAGCTGGGGCATAGAAGCAGAACCGAGTCGTATGTGTGGAGGGACAGTAACTGTGTGTGTGTCTGTGTGTGTGTGTGTGTGTGTGTGTGTGTGTGTGTGTGTGTGTGTAAGCATTTAAACACTGCAGAGAGTAGAATTAACAGTAACAGTATTGTAGAAATTCATTTCACCGAAACAATAACGTGGCGCACAGTGTGCACCAGTTTATTGTATTTCCAGACTTGCTTTCGGCACAATTTACAGTGCACGCTACTCTGTTTTTTGTCAGACTTGAAATAGCCGAAATACCTTCACACTACGGAACTTCTATGGCTCTTCCGTTTGACAATCTCTCCGGCATTGGAACCATCATCTGTTTTCTCTTCGGTCACGCTCGGTTGATTTTTCTAGTCGGCACACTCATTTCCTCCATTACCCGCTGGCTGCTTCCCAAACAAACACACGTGCAGCTTGGCACTTGTGCTGTACGTAACAAGTCACGCGATGTGACGCTGTGGCTGTGATTGGTTCGGCTCTGCGCTACTTAATTTGGATTGGCTGGTCTTTTTTTTTTTTTTTTTTTTTTAAGAGGAGAAGAGCGGCGAGGTCTATCGCGATAGTTTCTCTATCGAGTAAAAGTTATATCGCGATACATATCATTATCGTTCTATCGCCCAGCTCTAGTGCAACGATAGAAGTTCACCAGGATGTCTGAGGACAGGTGGTTCTTCCTCAGAGTCCTCAAGAAGAAGAGGCGCTGGTGAGCCTTCTTGACCAGCTTGGAGCAGTTGGTCGTCCAGGTGAGATACTCGGAGATGTGGACTCCCAGGAACTTGAAGCTGCTCACACGCTCCACAGCCGTCCCCTTAATGTGGATGGGTGGATGTGGGTCAGCATTCCTCCTGTAGTCCACGATGAGCTCCTTGGTCTTCTCGGTGTTAAGCAGCAGGTTGGTTCTGTCGCACCACTCAGCCAGACGATCCACCTCATCGTTGTCACTGATGAGGCCAATCACCGTGGTGTCATCTGCAAACTTAATGATGGTGTTGGAACCATCAGCAGGTCTGCAGTCGTGGGTGAAGAGGGAGTAGAGGAAAGGGCTCATCACACAGCCTTGTGGTACACCGGTGTTCATCGTGATGGTAGATGAGCAGCGGTTATCCAGCCGGACATGTTGGGGGCGGTTGGTCAGGAAGTCCAGTAACCATTTGCACATGAGGGAACTGATGCCCAGGTCTGTCAGTTTCCTGATGAGTTGTGAGGGGTGGATTGTATTGAATGTTGAACTGAAGTCTATAAACAGCATTCTGGTGTAGGTGTTGTTGTTGTCCAGGTGTGAGAGGACAGAGTGCAGTGCGATGGAGACTGCATCCTCTGTGCTCCTGTTCTGGCGGTATGCGAATTGGTGGGGGTCCAGGGTGGGGGGGAGACAGGATTTGAAGTGTGCTAGGACCAGCTGCTCTAAGCACTTAGTGATGATGGGGGTGAGTGCTACTGGGTGGTAGTCATTGAGGCAAGATGGGTTGGAGTTTTTGGGTATCGGGACGATGGAGGTGGATTTGAAGCAGGCCAGTAGGCGAAACCCTAATAATTTTGATCGTGACCTTTCTTCTGGTATCAAAAGTAGTCTCCTTGTACAGGTGGCTGCCATCATACCTGTTGCTTGTGTAGCTTTTCTTATTACACTTTTATTCTCCAGTCAACTCTCCTTGAAATGCTACAATACAACACTCTGAACAGTCAGCCTTTTAAAGCAGTTGAGTTCAGGCTGTTGCTTGCATCGGAAGTCAAAAACCTCCAAGCTGTAATCTTTCAGGCAGAGGAGTGACTTTCCATTGTGAGATTAAACATGTGTGAATCATGCCATCAGATGATATTTAAATTTGACCAATCACTACCCTACCCTGTCCATTCTGAGAATAAGAAAAAGTTAGGGGTGGGGTTGGACTTTATTCGTACAGAAAGGCAAAATGAAATAATGTCATACTCTAAGATACTGGATTTCTTATGTTCATGATCTATAAGCAATAACCATCAAAATTAAAACAAAGACTCTAAGTAGTTCACATAATATACAAGCCTTTAATTAAATCACATAAAAATGTAATGATATTCAAATTTTTGTGACACACCATTTATTCATTCATGAGCTCCTGTTGAGGAGGTACAGGGAGCCACACTGCACACCTTTAAGGTCAGTCCGTGAAAATATTGTCAGATATAAACTGGTCTGTGGCACAAAAAAGGTGGGGACTGCTGGTTTATAGGTCCTATCCACTGAAGATCAAAAATGCAAGGAAATGCATTAATTGATACTGATCAATATTACTATTGGATCATATCTAACTGTGTTGACACTAAAAGTGCCATTTTCAACTACCGGTACTCCAGCTGACACAGAACTTTACACGGCCCCTCCCCTCAATAGCATGAACACAGATGCACACCTTAATGCTAGTCAAATAACAATAATAACAAATCCTTGTTCATTGCTATGAACAAATGCATGTTTGTGCAACAGGTATGCAGGTTTATGTGTATATGAGCCTGTTTAAAATCCCTAACTGTGTTACCAGAGAAATCAGCTGGCTCCATTACCACAGGGCCAGGTTTTAATAGCTTCACTCTCATACACAAACACTTTCTCTTCATGAAAATCACCCCAGGGCCTTCCTCTTAATTATCAAGTCTTATCACAAACATCAGGAATATATTCTCAGGACAAAATTAGGCATGTGCTTACAGCACACCACTAATTGTATAGCCATTCAAGAAGAGAAATGAACAAGTGAGACTTCAGAGGGGAACCTTACAAAGGGAAAATCAGCTTTTATAGCCGGCTCACTCATCATTTAAATTTTACCACAAAATAACTTTACAGTATGAGGGAAAAAATGTTTCCTAAAATACAAAACTGCAGTCACCGTTTGATAGTAGATTCATTCTGAAGTGGAACAGTGTTGTTGTGCCCCATCAGGTTGACCCTCTATGTTAAAATATTGCTACTCTGAGTGACTGAAACATACAATTAGGTCCATAAGTATTTTGACAGTGACAATTCAGAGAATTTTAATTCAAACAATCAAAATCAGACGACAGTACACTTTCTGCTTAAATCCAAAAACTAAACCAAAATGATGAATTAACAGGCTCGCATTTTCAGACAGTCAAAAGACACTAGACAACTGAATGTTAAACAGTTCTCACAGCCAGATGACAAATAAAGCAA